TTTTTTTTAAATATATCTTTATTGATTTCAGAGAGAGGAAAGGAGAGGGAGAGAGAGATAGAAACATCGATGATGAGTCATTGATCGGCTGCCTAGCCCGCAGCCCAGGCATGTGCCCTGACCGGGAATCAAACCCCGATCGCCTGGATCCTAGGTCGACGCTTTTTAATATTATCAGGCTGCTAAGTATTTTGATCAGGTCTTTTGAAATGACTAAGTAAAACTCACAAAACATCTCTGCATTTTGGTATTAAGAAAGAGATCCAAGAACTATAGGCATTGGAAGATAAAAACTAACATTATATTTTAAGTATTTTTCTTCTTTTTAAGTGAAAAGTGGCAAATATGAATGAAGTTTTAAATGCATCACAGTGACTTACTAAGCTAACAGTTTTTCAAACTTTGTTCATTGTAACGTTCTGCGAGATGCTGTGAGAATAAAAGGAAGTTTGTTCATAGATGTCACGTAGCGCATCTTTCTCTTGGAGTTTCATAACATGTTAGTGCCTTAAAGACTTCAGGAGATTCTAAAGTCAAGCAATGTATTTAACTTTAACTCTATAGCTCCCAGACTTGACTACAGCACCTTTTGATTTGGAACTAGTATTTTACAGCACACACTGAGAGCCACACTGTACCAAGTAGTTAAAAATGTAATTAGGCTTTGAAACAATATACCTGTTTCATTTACTGCTTCTGGTTAAAGTTAATTGAAGCTCCTGGGAGACAGATGGGTATCAGTAGGCCTGTTCTGAAACTACAGATAGAGTGATCGAGAACAGTTACTAGGCCATGATCTGAGGCAGCAGGCCTACGGGAACATTTGGTATTTTGCCTGCACCAGATCCCTCTTTTTAGTAAACTTAAAAAGTATCTTTCAAAATTAAATAAGAACTAAAGTCATCCAGCACACAAGCTGGAGTGTTCATTTTAATTCCTGTTAGCAGTTAGATATGGTGACATTAAACTATTCTGACCCCTTTCTAACAGCGATCGCCACCGCTTTGGTCTTACAGAAAGTATATCGCCTGCTAATTTCCTTCCAGGGCTTTGACTGCTGACAGGCCAGGCGAAGGAAAAGCAGCATGCTGCTTAGTAAGCACGTCACCATTCAGAGATTCAGTTCTCTCTTCTCTACCCCATTTCTTTAATTTTCACATGTCTGATTATTTCAGTTTAGAAGAATTTGATATAAAACAATTCAAACTTACAATTCAGAGAAATCGCATTACTTAGAATACTTACTTGCTTTAGAAAAAGATTCTCTGGGCAGGTCATCTTCCCTAGCGCCTATGAAGGACAAGCTAAACTTTGAATACTGCATCTCTATATCATTTGATAAGCAGAATGTAAGACACACCCATATTTTTCTTTAATCAAATTCTCTCCCTTCATACTAAATTTTTAAGCTTTACAGATTTTATCATTAATCACCTCTTAAGTATTATGGTTTGTGTCTCCAAGGTGCATGCAGCTATACCTACAAGTATTAGTCACAATTTCATTTTCATGTGACAGTTACTTCTTGTGAACAGATGTCTTCTCTTGTACACTTCAAGTCTCCAGAAGGAAGGGTCACGCACCCACCCACCTGTTCCATCACTCCCCAGAGGTCAGCCCAGGGCTGCTGGGTGCAGCCACTTCTCAGTCAGCTATGTAGACTGCTGACAATATTAAATCAGAAAGTATATTGCCTCCCGTGGACTGAAGAGCGTCAGGTCATGGTCAGATCTCCATAGACTTCCATGGAGAACATATGCCTACATAGGCTGATTTCTCAACCTATAACCATGGTGTCAGCTGGCTCACACAAACCCTAAAAACTTAGCAATCAGCTGTCCAAAGCAAGTTTGAGCCAGCTCCAGAACACCACTGTAGGAGCTGTCTTTAAGAGTGAGCTTGAAGCCCGGCCAGGCGTGGCTCAGCAATTGAGCGTGGACCTGGGATCCAGGCGATCAGGGTTCGATTACCGGTCAGGGCACATGCCCAGTTGTGGGCTTGATCGATGACTTTCTCATCATTGATGTTTCTGTCTCTCTCTCTCTCTCCATCTCCTTTCCTCTCTCTGAAATCAATAAAGATATATTAAAAATAAAAGAAAAAGAAAAAGGAAAAAAAGTGAGCTTGAACACACTTACAGATACCAGAACCAACTGACTGAGGAGGCCAGGAGAGAGGGGTGTTGGGGGCTGGGTGAAATGAGATAATGGGATTAAGAAGTACTGATTTGTAGTTACAAAATAGGATTGGGGATTTAAGGTAAAGCACAGGGAATATAGTTAACAATATTGCAATAACTATGTATGGTGCCAGGTGGGCACTTGAATTATTGGTGGGAACACTTTGTATACCTGAAACTAATACAGAATAGTGTTGAATGCAAACTGTAATAAAAATATTTTTAAAAAGGGTGAGTTTAAAAACTTACCATGGAACAGTACTAAGGAAATGATTGATAGCATTTGCTAAACTCGATCCTCAGGTCATAGAGAACATCCTCGATAGAATATGCCAGTAACCTAACTCTCGATAGGATAGTAAATAGAAGCAAATGTAACCATGATGAAATAATACCTGTGCTCCTAGATGGGAAGGGAACACGCCCCGCCACCACCAACTCCTGCACCTCCACCACCAACCCCTCCACTCCACTCCACCCCCGGGGGGGG